TCTTAACGACAACTCTCACCGGTTTTTACACTCTTTTTGATCCTTTGGCCTTTCATTGGCTCGTCCATCTGCTGTTCCCCTCCAACGACAGCCCTCGGATTGCTGACTCGTTGCCACAAACATCCGCTGCCGGACCAGCAAAATGTTTACTGAGGAATTCAAGATCTTAAGCTGAGAGAGAGGAATCTCAGTATTGCAAAGGTACGTGCTGTGATCACATCTTCAATCTAAACGTCTAGTATCTAGTTCTTGTCTCCATCTCCAACTCTATCGGTCCAACTTCTGGTTTGTCTTCGCCTTCTTTTTGCTCTTTCCATCTTCATCCCGACTGCTTACTGATCGCTTCGTCGCTCCCTTTGCCCCCGGCCCCGATCGTCGACCTGAACTCACACCTCCTGCCATTCCACCCGCCTTGACTGCCTTCTCGACCTGCCACTCCGCCTTCCTCTTCTCAGTTTCCAGTATCTTCGCTTCCTTTGCCGCCTCCAAGAATCCCCAAAGCCGTGTATTCTCTGTCGGAGCCCTTGTCTCAGTCTCCAAGTCCCTCGTGGAGAAACAGAAGACATCAATGTGAGCGCTATTTGCTGAGCGTCGGTTCATGAGGTATCGTTCACCATTGTAGTCGAGTGGCCGCCTCCACTTCCTCACTGCTGCCTTTTCTGCTGCATTGTCCAAGGTTGTCGTGAAAGACATACGAGGAGCCTGCAGCTCGGAAACTCCTGCGCGACACAAGGCAAGATTTGGAATCATCAAGTCGTAAACATGGAGAAGGAAACGGGCGTGACTGTTGCCCGAACCGGCTTGGACACGGAGGTAGTGGACGAACGCGGCATAGAGCTGGTACGTGTTGAGAACTTTTACCGCGGGGTCTTCGCTTCTTTTCAGATGCTCAAAAAACGAATCGAGTTCGGTGCCGCACACTAGTTTGTCCGTTCCAACCTCACTCGCACGTCCCCGTCCAGAGGCAAAGATGTCCTTTGGCACAAAGTCCCACCCAGTGTGCAACTTCTCACCCGCCATAGAGCAAGAACTGGCAACAGGATGCACCAACTGGGCCCCTGGGGTGTAGATAGGATTCCGGTCACCCCACTTCCACTTCCCATTCACGGTAAGTCCGCTCTTCTTTGCCTGAATCACCAGCGAAATCTCCTGACAACATCTCACACACACCACCTCGGTGGCTGTCCCTCTTCTGTCCTGCAATGCCTTTTTCACCCGGACGTTTTCCTCCTGCATCGCCCGTCGCACCTGGTCCTCCTCGGACTCGCCGACACACGGAACAAACACACCAGCCGCCTTGCGCTTCTTCCAGACACCTACGTAGAGAACATGGACGTTGCAACGGCGTTGAAAATCAGTGTCCGACTCTCCAGGACTGCGTTGGAGAGTGCCGCTGTTCTCGAGGTGAGTAGATAGGCTGGATTGGAGTTCTTGTCCGAGCTGCTCTCGGAGACGGTCTAACCGATCGGCCTTTTCCTTGCATTCCAGACTGTCAAACCATCTATCGTGTTCCATGGCTTGCCGCGAGAGTCGGGATAGAAGCCACCGCGACATTTCGGTGCTGGGATCAAATTCACGGACGGCGAGGGTGTTGGCGATGGTGTCGGTGTCGAGAGAGGTACGTTCCAATGCTGATGATGAATACTCCTGACAAATGTCATCTCCATTAATGTCAGTTTCATCGATGTTGCTTGCTTCTTGTGGAACAGGTTTAACTGCACCTGCCGGCCTCGTTCGTGGCTGGAGTTGTGCGAGTGAGTGAGGAACAGGAATGAAGCCGGTGCATTCTCGCCTGATCTGATCATCCCATTTGATCTCGCTGTGCAAGGTATCCCACCCGGTAGTGACGGTTGGCTTCGTGATTGTCTCACGTGCTGACAATACCACCATAGCTGAGAACGATCGGAAACCACTGGAAGGGCCGCCGCGACCAGAGTCTGCGTACAGGTCACGACACTTTTGAACGGTGAGTGCGAGCTGTTTATGCACCTCTGAAGACTCCGCGTTGATCACCAATGCCTTCAATCCTGCAAGGTCGGTGCATGTCAGTGCGTGCTTACGTGCGTACTCGTCCATCTCTTGAAGCAGTTCCGCTTGCAGCTGCATCACTTGGAGGATGAGAGGGTGCGCAGCATAAAAGGTGGACCAGCCAGTATCGAGCAGCCACAGGATGACTTGGAACGAGTCGGTCGGAAATGCACGGCGGCAAATGGTCAATTTACCGGTGAGTGACAGAGCCGGCTGTTCTTCGGAGCTGGGAAGGGAGGAGCGAGTGGTGGGACGCCAGCCCATGAATCCGAGGATGAGGTTGTATGGGCGGCGATCGGCAACAAGTGCGAGGAGAGAGGAGTCGTAGACGTGGAGATCTGAAACGGTGAGCTTCCCAAATTTCGCAACAAGATCATTGGAGTCAAGGTCGGGAAAGTGATTGACAAGTGGAGGTGGGTGACCGTCAAATATTTGAGTGAGGAGGTGGAGGCTGGGATGTGATGTGTGCTGGGATGGATCAATTGGATACTCATCCCCGGTCTGCCCGAGCGGTGGTGCTGTCCCTACAATTACAGTGCGTGCAAGGGGACCGGCAACTGTATTTCGCTGTAGAAAGAGTAGACGTAAAATGTAGACAGCTAATAAACACAAATACCGAAATCATGTGCTCACCCGCAGGAGGTCCCCAGATCCAGGCATGCTAATGTAGATATAGTTTGCATAGGGAGATCGATTCAGTAGATCGGGAAAGAGACCTTTGCCGACGGCGATCAATGCCATCTCCATCGCGTCCTTGTGGAGTTGTGACGGGACAGCATGAGCAACACAGAGTGTCATTGCAGGGTCTCCAAGATCAGCCAAATATCTCTGCAGTGAGCGATTTCGAACAACCATGTTGGCCGTTTGACCAATGTAGATTTTCGCTCCAGGTAAGAAATTGATCTGCCATACACCTCCTGCTCCGACATCCACGGCTCCGTCTGTCCAGCACTTCACGTATATGAGGTGAGCACATTGTGTGGGACACACGAGATGGGGTGAGATACCGGGGCGTGGGCGGAAGCGGAGGGCGGGAGGTTCCCGATCGGCATCGAGAGTGAGAGGTGGGAGGGGTCCCTCCACCGATTGTAGGAGCAGCCCGAGTCCAAAAGATAGCACACGTGGCTCAATGTGGAATTCCTGTGAATAGCGGCAGAACCAGACTTTCCACTCTGGAGAGAGCGATGAGTGCGTCTGGGGGAGAGAATCGGAGGGATTTGAAGGATTCGCTGGGAGATTTGACATGAAGAGAGTGGAAAGAGCGAGAAAACGAGATTTTGTAGAGTGATCCGGCGATTTGAGTGGGTTATGTGTGATCGAGTTTGGCAGGATAAATGTTGGTTGATCGTGACCCAAATCAACTAGCCAAGTGTAACACTTCTCCAGATTCATTCAATAAAACTGTATTAGACTATTAAGCGGAAATGGTAGTTACTGCGCGTACTTTATTTTGTGGATACATTCTACTTCCAACAGTGGTTTTGTGAGGCTCACCCCCGATTCTCACGCTCGAGCCCACAACCCATAGTGGGGTTGCCAGAAAATGTGCCCGCAAAGTGTCCGCCCATCATTGAGCAAAAATATAAAAATATTACAATCAACGGGAGAGTGATCCATTGTCACCGGAACGTTTATACTTACAGAGGGTTCCAACCTTTCACAACGACGCAAGACATTTGTAGATATCACAATGGGCATATTTGTGAGCTTGGAGCTTCTCATTTTCCGAGCGGTTAGCTGCGCACTCACATGGCGCTCATCAACAATTCTTACTGTGCCAATCGCCCGTCTCACTTCACTCTTCAGACATCTCCCTTCAAAATTCATGTTGAGCGCAACGGTATCTGTTCACTGCAGATGTTGCGCTATCCCGAAAATGGAAAAGCCTCTCTCCACAGTTCAAGGGGGATTGTCGCGCAGAAGCAAATGTGACAGGTACGCATTTGATACACCATGATTCATTCGCAGGCACAGACGCCATCAATATGCCATTCTATGTGTGGTCATGAGCCAAGTTTCATTCGTTAATGCAACTGGGGTAATCTCCCAGCAAGGCATACGTAACATTGAGCATCTCATTCGTTCGGTCAATTCTCGGCAGCTGCTTGTTGCCAAACGCTCGACTTCAGAAAATCATCGAAATGATTGGTGCTGTACAGGAGCTCAGTCAACTGTTTGTGGTCGTGTGTGTTTACGAATCTCGCTCATAGAGCGACATCCAAGGTTCATTCGTGCTCAGACCTCTACAAACACCCATGGAGCACAGCGATCGAGAGAAGATTCATTACATTTGTGTCTTCATTTGCGTTTCACATAGTTTGAGAGCTCGTGTACCCTGTCGTAGACGGTAGCTCTCGACGTGGTCTTTTCGTACCGCCGCTGCCACAAGTATATTGTGCGCCACGAGATTCCTGCATCTAAAGGACATGTTGTAGAGCTACTGATAATGTTTTCAAGGTGTCGCGGAGAGTCTTGCTCACCCACCAACCAAAGAGTTGCAATCGTCATCGAGACATTCAGGGAATCGGCATGACAACGGCGGCAAAGGAGCGGACATCACCCGATGGCAGAATTTCCAAAAGAAAAAAGAATCTGAGTGCTCGCTCCTTTCCCGCACATCCCCTGTCTCTCATCTGTCATCGAGACGTGACCAGCTCCGGTTCAAAGAATCCTGAAGGTCAGCGCGTTTTTCCGATGGGAAAACTTGGGATACAAGGCAGATGCAGATGGAGATTGTGGCCCACGCGAGTGTGGAAGGGGACCGGCGCGAACGGACGGAGGGGGGAACGTCACTCGGTGCTGGTGAGTCGGTGTGGCAAAGCACCGAGTGTGTGCACTCACCCCGACCTCCCAATCGCACACAAAAATGCGTAAAACACGATGAAATGTACGTTGAATGCGCTGAAAATGCGCCAGTTGATAGGAAATGAAGAGTAGTATTTAAAAAAGTGGTCAAAAATGCACCAAAATTTTTCCGATACCGGGGTTCGAACCCGGGCCGTCCCGGTGAAAGCGGGAAATCCTAACCACTGGACTATATCGGATGTGATGGTTGTACAATGAAACTATTCTGTATATATAATGATTTTGTTTTTGTATGGACTACGGAAAAGCTTTTGGGGACAGGATGACGGATTTTTGAACCCGGGCCGTCCCAGTGAAAGCCGTTAATCCTGACCACTGGACTATATCGGATGCAATTGTTATGTGATGAAACTATTTTGTAAATAAAATAATTTTTTTTTGTATGGGCTACGGAAAAGCTTGTACACAGGCACGGATTTTATGTCGAAATCTGAGGAAATCTTACCCAGACTGCTCTGAGCTTTCATGATTGCTTCTGAACCTTTTTGCCGAAGGGTCCAAAGGGGTTCACTCAGATTCTGATAAGAATCTGACATTTCCTAACACAGGAATGTGGGCTTTTCTGATCGATTCTGTACTCCTCTTTCACATTCCATTATTGTGTTCTGCTCAATTATATTACACTTGTAATTCAGTTGTATTAGAAGTCTCTTTGCATACAGTTCCTCTGATCTGAACATTCATAACTTGACACAAGGGATCTGTGTGCCAAGCCACTGCTTGTTGGATGTACTTAATGATGCCCACAGAGGTTTTGCTTCAGGGAGAAAGCCAAGTGCTCGGATCACCAACAACCAGCTTGGCCATTGACACAAGGGAGATGGAATGGATGGTTTTACGTCCTCACTTTGTTTGGACAACTGCCTGTGAGAGGCCAGGCAGACTATCTGGAGGGATTCGCAAGTCAACACAACTCCAAACATTGTCTGCAGAAGGCATAGTGCCACGACACTGTTCTTGACAATACTTTGCAAGAGGGAGGAAGGGTGGCAGATGCTCGAAAGAGGGTAAGCAGAAGATCGAGTCTTGAGAGATACAGCTTTCTGGGATCCCTGGCACCAGCCCAATGCTTTCTGCGCTTCTGGACTACTTCATCGCTTTCAGCAGAGTCCAATTAGGCCTCGATGATTGGGAATTGTTCATGCCACTGCTGGTGCAGACAGAGCCAGTTCAACGTCGTCCCCCAATTCGAAGCCATCCTGCAGGAAATCCCAGCCAAAAAGCTCAGGCAGATTAATTTCTTGGTGATGGCTTGCACCGTCATCCAGAAACGGTCCAGTTCCCTTGGAAAATTTGGAGAGATTGTCAAGCAACACGTGTGCTCCTGCCTGCACCACTGAGCCATATTCCGATTGCGAGTCCAGCAGCGTCTCTCCACCCACTTTTCCATCACCAAGCACAGCATGGGCACGTCTGTCCAGCTCACTGTTTTGGAGGAATTGCTGATGCTTTCAGCGGTCCAGCACAAGGTACAGCAGCAGGGAGTCACACACAGCGCACACAGTTCCACTGTCTTTGAGTACAACGGGAAAGTCCATTGAGATAGCATGCTGTGTTGTTCCGCTTCTTCAACGTGGGTTCATGAAATCATGATCCGTCTTTGGAGGAAACTGTACCAGCCCTTTCAGAGCAGAAAACTTCAGATTCTTGTGGTCCCCAAAACCTGACCATGACAATGTGGTCAGAATCTGTAACTGTCAAATTCTGTTAAGAGTACTTTGATCAGATTCTGATAAGAAAATCTGAATAATACTGTTCATATTCTGCTGGTATAAGATTCTTGTCATATTCTGCGCAATCCAAAACTTCTCTGTTTGGAATGCACATAAAATCCCCTGCCGTGTATATTGAGTTCACATTTTGAATGGCCTACCAAAAAGCCTGTGAGTGCTTGAATCACGGTGCAAACTTTTCATCATTGTGATGTTGTTTGCAGCGTTGTCAGTTACAACAGCAACAAGCTGAAAATCAATGTCATGAGTCAGTGAGTCGAAATTCGCTCACAAGTGCGAATATAATTTGACAAAGGTGCAAGTGAGGCGAGTTCCAAGTTGCATATATAGTTGAGTGAGTGAGTTGTGAGTTGTATATTTTCGAAAGTGAGTGAGTAATGAGTTCATATAACATAACTCATGAGTTAACTCACTCAATTTGCTCGGAACCCAAAACATCCCAAATCAGAAATGAGTGCATCTGTCACAAAGGTTTGATATGGAATGGACCACTGCAAAACTGTTGCTTCAGTCAAGCGGGATGCGACGGGGCTGTTACTGACCATGATTATGGACCGGTGATAGAATAGAGAAGAGTGAGATATTATGTACTGTGTAGGCTGCAAACTATATTATATAGCTAATGAGGGTACTGAGGAGGTGTCCTAATGTTGTGAGACGACGGCTAAAAGCGGGAGTTTAGCCAGAGTCACGTGACCCCACAAGCACGACATCTGTCGTCCCCGTTCACCTCCACGCGTCACCCCTGGTTGTGGCACCCATTCCTTAGTTAGATATGATATCTATTAGTACATAGATGCGTATAGAGTAGTTTTTAGATTTTTCTAG